AATCGAAGGAGATTCAAGCATCTCTAAAAAACATTATCATATCTAGGTGAGAACATCATCCTTTGTGCTCTATGATGGGTACTAGGTTTTCAAAGAAAAAAATTACCTTTATTTGCTAAACCCGGGTGTATGTAGTGCTAATCAGAGGCCTATGTACTAGTATGTGCTCTGGTTTTTTGAAAATAGCAATTTCGGATAATGATTTTGACCTGAAATCTAACCTACCCTTAGCCCCAGGCCCCTCTCAGCCTAATCACTTGAAAACAAAGTTACATTTATGAAGTAAAAGCTCCACTATATTAGAGTCCATGGTCAAATTCATTTGGCAGCACACTTTACCAATGGAGTTATATAGCACTTTCAAAATGCCAGCTAGAAGGAAGAATTTTTGGTGCTCCACAGGCCACAAATGGGACCCCCCCTGAAACTCCAGAACAAGCAGTCAGAGAAGTGAGCTAAAGTGGCTTTTGAAATGTCTTATTACATTCAACTTTTTTGCCAAGTTTCAGCCGAATCGGTTGACCAAATAAACGTTTAATATTCGAGATGTGAAAGGTAGAAATGATAAACTTACCGTTTGAAGAGTTGCTTTTCTGGGGTTTTTTGTGCTGTTAGGCATTCCTAGAAATTTGGCCCTTCGACCGTGAAGTCGGTGACATAGAAGAAACGACCAACTTTGTTTATCATTTCCAGTTTGTGAGCTTCAGTGGTAATAATAAATGCTTGAATGCTATTAATAACGTCTTCAAAGTACTTGCAATACGATAGAAGTTGTTTTTGTTTTCTTCGAAAGCATTCATTTTGAAGAAATAAGTAGAATGATGGTTGTCACTTGTCAATTGCGTGACTTATGTGTCACGCAATTGTTAGATCGATATTCCTAATTATGCAGGTCGTTTGAAATTTCTTAAATCGAAAAGTTGCAGCAAATTTTTACTGTAAATTCAAAAACTACGAATGATAGGTTTTTTTTTAGATAAAATTCATATTTTTCATTGGACGTGTTACTACTTATAGGCAATTGGCAATGAAACGTAACGTCAGTTAATTTTGTCTAATAAAACTTTGTGCGCAACAAGTAAACAACTGAGTTTAAATATTTTAAATGAGCACTTTGATGAAACCGCCCGATAATTTGAAAACCCAAAAAACTCTGTTATTTCATTATAATATGAATTTTTAGTGATTAATAAAGCCTTCTCAATAATAATTTTAGTTTAAAGTCAATTCTAGGGCGAGAAAGTACGATTTGAAAACAGTTCCGCCATTACTTATTTTCAACTTATCTTCGGTCAGCGATCACTCCCATTGTGACGTAGATCACTCAACACTTTTATATTTGTACGGAAACCTTGTGAAATTTAGTGAAATAGTCTTAGTCTTGGTGTTATAAAAAGCAATATTGACGATCAAAATACTATTTTTCAAAATTACTCATCTCCGTATTACCATCAAAATACTGTTTTTGAAAATTACCCACGAGCACGACGCGTCAAATGAGTAATCTCCAAACTCGCGCCAGTCTTCTTGAGCCTGCGAAGTAGTTACGAAAATTAATGGCGGAACGATTTTCAAATCGTAATTTCTTGCCTTAGAATTGACTTTCAACTAAAATTGTTTTTGAAAAGGTTTTATTAATCACTAAAAATTCATATTTAAATGAAATAACTGAATTTTTCGGGTTTTCAAATTATAGGGCGGTTTCATCTGAGTGCTCCTTTAAAGAATGGAAATTTGTTGTTCATTTGAATTTAGCCCAATTATTTATATCGTTCAAGCTCACAAACTGGAAATGATAAACAAAGTCGGTCTTATCTTTTATGTCGCCGAAGAGCCGAATTTCTATGAATTTAAAGCTCTCGTATGCATAGCAGCACAAAAAACCCAGAAAAACAACTCAACAAGCAATAAGTTTATCATTTCTACCTCTCATATATCAAATATTAAACGTTTATTTCACTCAGCACATATAAAAATAATTATTTGAAGCTACCCTACTTTTCACTCAGCACTTAAGTAAATAATTTGAATATATCAACAAAGTTGAAATGGTAAATTGGCCACCGTTACGATTATAAAAGCTGACGTTTCGAGTGTTAGCTCATTCGAGCGTTAGCCCATTCGCTCCGACGAAGGGCCAACGCTCGAAACGTCAGCTTTTATAATCGTAACGGTGGCCATTTTACCATTTCAACTTTGTTGATATATTCAAATTATTTCGTTACCCCCACCGACGCAGCCCCTAACAGTTTCTTTAGAAACTCTCAGCCTTTATTCACTTAAGTTAATAGATAGAAAAATCCGTATTTTATTTCAAATTTAAGTAGTGATTCTACTTTTTGGTGAAAACATAGGAGAGACATTGTTCTAACATTCTGTAGAATAAGTAAGTTTTTCACAGCTTTTACAAGTACATCTGAAGCCTTCAAAAATCGGCTAAATTCAACCTTCGAATGACGCTAATTATGCGTAAATTAAGTTTTATCAATTTTCTCGAAAACAAAAGAATTTTTTAACAAACTTTAAAGGTCTTGGTTTGTTTTACCTATAGGCCTACCTAATACTAGAATATGAACCAATTCCATTTTTTGACTGTTGCCGGTGAATGTTTGAATTTTCGTGACAACCTCTCTTAATTGTTTTAGAAATTTACGATCATGAAAGGTCAGATGCGTTGGGGCGGGGCGGATTTACTAATTGGTTTAAGTTATGCACGGATACAACAATTGAAAAAAGAAAAGAAAAGAAAAGACAAAGAAAAACACAGAAACTTACAAAACATTACTGCTTTTCGCAGTGAATTTATTTGTTCTTTTCTGCTGCACAAAGTCGGTAAGAGTTCAATTTTTGCCGAGCGTGTCTGCTGAATATTTATTCTGTCTATTTTTTGTAGTATTCATAAACATTCTGTCTAACCTTTGTAGTATTGATAACTGAAATTCGTAAGTACCAGCTTCACTTCTCGCCAAGGCGAGAGTTTTTCCCAAAAATAGCATATTGTTAGACTTTTCTGTGAGCTAAGATATTTGAATGAAAGAAATATTACGGGGGAAGGGAAGGTGGTGAATAGATTTCTTTTGAATATCTAGCCTGCAGAACAGGCGTTGTTCATTTTAGCTTTTTTAGGACGAACGCAAGCACGGGTGAGGCGAGATACGTGCCAGGAGAAGAGGTGCTTCCCTGGTGTATGTCTTTGTCAGTGCACTCGCATCTCGATCGTTTCCCTTCGCTTGCCTGAAAACGCAAAAAATGAAATAAAATAAAATAATAAAAAAACGAAGAAACAAAAATGGCAAATTTTTCCATGAACACAATTTTATAATAATTTTAGGTTACTTTAAAAGTGAGCCGTGTTCACTTCGGAGACTTCGTCGTTCAAATCAGAGACAGCCAACTTTTTCCTTAAAACTTTCCTTTCATGATAAATAGGAATGCATTTGACTTTGTCTAACTCGGTCATATTTCCTCAGAAATCGGATATCTTTCAAAATTTTAATTAGGAGTGCTTGTCTCTTACATTTATGATGGGGCATTGAATATTTCAAGCAACTGTAAGTTTCATTACACGAAATCACACAGTCGGGATAAATGTAGAACGAAACAGGAACAGAAGTATCCAGTTGGGCCTGTGCTAACAAATGAGTCTTTTCGTTTAATAACAAAAATTAAAGGGAAAACGATATTAAATTGAGATTTAGAAGTGCTGTACATTTCCAAAACTTGTCAGAGGGGTTGCAGATACTAAGAATCTTAAAATCAGAGAGTACTTTGCGAGAGGAAGAAATGAGATATAAGTTAATGGCAAACACAATCAGAATAAAAAAATCCATACATCTGCATCTTTAATAAAATTTATTTCAAGCAATTACACCAAGATGATGATAATCCTCTCCAATGACTGACCTAATATCAAGACTTTAAGCAGCTCGTATTACTTGTACAAAAACGTTAGTTGGTTAGTTGTCGCAGCATAGAATAATCGTTTAAATCCCATCACCTTACATAAACTTGACAGCACCTTTTCTTAGTTTTCAACTGCTGTTTTTCTTTTTTCCTATCTTACCATGACCCAGATTGGTTTGGTCAGTTAACAGTAGCCCGCAATACACTTGGTACCAAGAGCGCTGCCGTCGTCGGAAGTGTTGTAGTTGTTTGAGCTGTCAGCAGAATTCCACATGTCAATCCACTTGTCTGTGCCACCGTGGCTTTCAGATATCCCGTGGTTTGATGCGAAGTGCAAATATGATATTGAAGCAAAACCAGAAGAGGGATTCCTCTTGTTTTCATCTGCTGGGCTGTACTTGTAAAAACCGTGGATGATCCTCGCCTGATTGCAAGTGTTCCCCATCAAGAACTTGTCGAAGTAAGTTTTGTCCTCATTTGGAGCGCCTGCCTTCCTGTTATAAATAACCCGAATGGTATTGACGTCACTGAACCGAAACAGGACTTCTTCCCAGTCCACCATGTCAGGGTGGATGTGACTCGATGCATCTGCGTCCGTGGTTCTTGCTGCTGATGCTAGGAAGGCTGTCTTAATAAAGTGGAAGCTTGGAGACACTTTCGTGGAAATTAGTGTCCAGCCTCCACCACTGGTCTCCATATCGCAAAAAGCCTGGTAAGAGTCATTTCTTAAACCACCGTTTGGATCGATCCAGTAAAGCCCGCTACCACGACTTTGACCTGAAATTATCAAAAGTGATCCTGAATAACTTTATGAATTAGACCAAATTAAAACTATGTGGGCAAGTTATCATTTTATTTATTTATTTATTTATTTTCATCAAATGATTGATTCGCGCAATCTCAATCTCACCTGACTTTAAAATATCGAGACAGTGACGTCCTGGGTCAGTAGCGTCCAAACCAATCCCTGGTTGCCAAACTTTACCATTACACCATTCCCAGGCCTTTCGGGTGGCATTATAGCGAACAGTGCCAGTGATACTCGTTAAACACTTAACAGCGTTTTCACTCTAAAAGGAAATTGTGTCATAAAAACACGTTTATAAGGTTGAATTGATGCAGACAACATTTAGTTAAGTGAAAGGGATGCTTTGCTTCAACGCCACCCAAGTGACTTAATTGAAATCATGGGATAGAAAATATGACCGCCATATATCTTTCATTCAAGTACATTATCGGTCCTATATGCTTAAATTCTCATTCAAAACCAAAGCTATCTTTCTCTCATTCTCTCTCCCACGAAATTGTAACAAGGCAAAACTTCAATAAATCGATTTATATACACATAGAATAACGCGGTGATGCTTATAGCAGAGTTTTTCGAAATTAGAGTAAGGTTTCTCAGTTTTCTATATTGTATGAGCCTGATTACTAGCTTCTCATTGCGGAAATTATTTCCGTAAAATAGTTTAATTTATATTTTTTCTTTTTTTTATCGAAGTGTAACCAGTTTATTATTTTTTTGTTTTTTGTTTTTTCTTTTTTTGTTTAGGGCCCTTCTAGGTTTCTTTCCCAAACGCAAACATCGGCAAATTTCTCTTTAGATTGTCGAAGGATCCTTGGAGTCTTAAAAAACTCTAATGATATACTTTACGTAGAGGAAGGTTGCTGCATTAGAGTTAGGAATCATTGTAAAGAGATCTAGTGACGATTTCAGATAATAATATTCAAACATAGTTTATACACTAAGACAGATGTAGGTTACCTTTATTCCCCTGTATGTGAAATTATTATCCTCAGTGAGGTTGGAAATTACAGCAAATCGATCAGAGTCACTTAGTTGGCACTTGAATTTCTCTAATTCGTCCTTCACGGTTCCAAAGTTGTAAGACTGACATCGCTCCTCATTCACACACTCAAACTGACAGGAACTTTCCGAATCCACTTGTATTTCTCTTATCAGGCTTCCGTTCAGCTTTTGTCCTTCTATCTTGTCGGCAAAGTTAACAGCTCTCAGATCTTGCTCCGAAATGCGCCCCATGCCGTACACAACGGCACAAAGAAGAAATATTATACAAAGATGCATGTGTATTCTTTACCGTCAGAGAGTTAATAATGACGAACACCGAATGCTGGTTTCATTTCTATGACGTAACTAAATAATTAAGCAGGTGCAAGGAATTGACAAATTACGAACAATATAAGCTATTCGATATGCGTCTAAAGTGCCTTTCAATCCGGTTGCTATGCTATTATAAAATTAATTTCGAATTTTATTAGACTGCGGCGTTTTCCCTTTTCTTTCACCGAGACTCTATGAGGGTTGATTCATCTTTTTGTTCCTTCATATACCCTAAATAAAGCATTATAACCTGATATTCTCGGCCAGATAATTGAATCTATAATTTTCTTTTACACTCAGTTATATTGTTGTTCCTATAACTGATTAAATTTCAGAAACAATGACTCTTTCCTTATCAATATTTAATGGCATCTTTCAGATCCTGCTCGGAATTACTACTGATGCCCTGTCAATCTGTTTAGATAGGATTGAGAATCTAACGATTACTGTTTAATCTCAGGGGAAAGTCGGACTTAAATGGTTTTTCCGTCACAAAAGCAATGAAGAAGGCGGAATAGCAGTGGAAAGAAGTTTTTGGAATAGGAGCGTGCATTGCGAGTTTCCTAATACTTTTACATCAGTTGCTAATTAAGGTCTGTTTTCCTTCAAAATAGCAATCATTATTTGCATCGTCACGATTATTTAGATATTTTCTTGGCTTTTGAAGGAAACATTTTTTTAACAATGCACAACAAAGTATTGCTCAATCCAGTCAGAGCAACGTTTCATTGGGAAAACTGATGCGCTTTTTTCCGAGGCAAGACAATAAAACCAAGTCATAAAACCTAGACAGCACTGTCAGATGTGTGGCAGCTAAACTGCGATACCTTCTCGGACGATAAATACGAAAAGGCAGCTACTCGAGATTGGTAACATAATTAGCAAAATTAGCATAATTCAATTGAATGAGACAAGAATACGATGGGCAAAGTATCAAAAAATTAATTTAGTATGTGCACCATATCGTGTCGTGCAGTTCCGTCGCCAATTATTTTTGTTTGATAATTCAGAACAGGAATTCGAGCCAAAGAATTGGCATGGGCAAAACCGGTTGTTGGTTTTCACAAGCAACGGCTTCTAGAGGATCAGAGGATTGTATGAGCATTTATCCGATGTGCTTGTTTAGTTGCCGCAGATTTATTACAAATTTTATTCCAAGCCAAGCAGGGAAAGTTTACAGCTGCATCTGTTTCAATGCGTAGATGTGATTAAGATATTGAACATCTCGCAGACATGAAGGCCTCTAATATGTTTTGCGTAGTAAACTCCGTATTTTTTAATACCACCATCCGTCTAGGCATCAAAGGAATTTATGCCTCTTTGTTATCTGAAAATGAATGAAATATTACATTTTAGACACATACTTATTCCTTTATTGCTATTTCTACATCTTCGTTGCTTTCATTTTACTGCAGTAACTCCTAAGGTGATGCAACCATACTTGAAAGCTATATTAGAAACAGAATCAGTTTACGCATCGCAAATATCTTAATCTAAGCTTCTTTCCTTAGGTTAAGCGCATTGCATGTTTGTGGAATCTCATTATACACTGTAGATCTCAGATGCCGAGGCTATTTTCCTCACAAAGAAGTTAAAAACTGTAAGATGCCGCTGTTAGTAGAATTTATCAATTTTTTTAGAGACTGCCGTGCATAAACTTTAACAGGAACTTCTCTGAACCATATTTTGACACATGTGACAAATGAAAGAGAACAATTTAAAATATCACAATATAATGTTGAGTATCACAATATTATTTTGTAACTCGAAGTTACAAAAAGTATAATGCGGATCTCTTTGTCACGGATTTAGCTAAGGAAGAGGATTCACTGCTCACTATCTTCGATCAAACCGATGTAGACTCTAACCTCAATATTTTAAAGGACACTTTGCAGTCTGTCCTGAGCTTACACGCTCCTGTGAAACAAATTAAACTACGGAGTAGACCTTGCCACTTTTTGAACCAGGAAATCAAGGATCTCATGAGATCGCGAGATCTCCTCCTGAAGCAATACATTCAGTCTCGCCATGACACCGAGTGGATAAACTTCAAACATTCCCGTGACTTGGTCAAGAAAACGCTACAAGAAGCTGAAAAAGATTACACCTTTGAAGAGGTCACAGCCAATAAAAACAGCTCTGGCTCACTTTGGAAAATTATAAATCGTGCCATCCCCTCCAAAGATAAGCAGAGACCTGCCTTTACAAAGGATTTGAAAGTTTTAGCCAACGAATTCGATCAGTTTTTTGCTAAAGTCGACTCAAATGCCACTGACGCAGTACAGCGCTTGAGGGAGGAACATGACATCACAGTCCGAGATTCTTCATCCGAAACTGACACAGATACTTCCTCTATGGAATCATTCAATTTAAGGACAGTATCACTTGAAGAGGTTCGCCAAATTGTAAGATTTCTCCCAATGAATATATCGCCGGGACCGTACAAGATCAGCGCTCGTGTATTAAAAGACTGTCTCCCTGTCATATTGGGCCCTTTCACTGACATCATCTATTGTTCCATACTTACTAATACATTTCCTTTCAACTGGAAAGAGGCTCAGGTGATCCCGATTCTTAGAGACGGTGACCATGAGAAAGCTGCTAACAATAGACCTAGATCTATGCTAGCCGTAGTTTCAAAGGTCCTTGAAAGGATTGTCTTGAATCAGTTCAGCGCCTATCTCACAAATAGCAATCGCCTCACCACACAACAAAGCGGCAATAAAAATGCTCATTCTACAGAGACCTTAAGCATCCTGCTTACGGATAACATACTCGAAGCAATTGATAAAAAGCTGATAACAACACCAGTACTACTAGATCCATCCAAAGCCTTTGACAGTATAGACCATGCAAAACTGCTCCACAAACTTTTCACCATAGGAGCCCCACACTCTACTGTGGTGATAACACACTGTGAGCTTCATGCTGCCCTTGAAAAGCTCCAACAAGATCTTTACAGTGTAGCCCAATGATGTTGTGAGAACTATGTACTTATCAATCCCGATAAAACCAAACTCCTTTTCCTTGGCACTAGACAGATTTTAAGTAGGTTACTGGAAGATCCTGGTGTGGTATTCTTGGGTAAAACACTGAAGCCAGTAGACTGCCAAGGATTTGGGAGTATTCCTTGACCCCCATCTGACCTACGATCACCACATTTCACGTGTAGGGTCATCTTGTTTCGCAAAGCTTTGTCAAATTAATAGAGTCAAAAGGAGCTTCGACAAAAAAAACACTAGAGTTGTTAATAACATCGTTAGTTTTTAGTAAGATGCTTTATTGCCCATCTGTATGGTCAAATACCACACTCCAGAATATAAACAGATTACAATCTACTCAAAATTTTGCCAGTAAGATCGTATCAAACTCTAGGAAGTTCGACCATGTAACACTTTTCCATCGTTAGCTAAATTGGCTTCCTGTTAAAGAACAATTATTTTATAGAGACTCCGTTCTGACCTTTAAATGTCAGAACGGTCTTGCGCCTCAATACTTAACGAGTAAGTTTACCAAGCGATCAAATATACATACCCGTAACACTCGTACGCGGAACTCTTTGCAGATTCCGCTATACAGAACGGCTACTGGCCAGCGCACTTTTTCCTATAGAGGGGCCAACATATGGAATAACTTGCATAAAGAACCTAGGCAAAATACCTCATTGGCATCTTTCAAGCGCGCTCTGCAAGACACACTATTGAGGCAGACATTTCCTTTATAAGCTCTAGAACTTGGAGGAATACTATCTTAAATTCTGACCATGAGTTTTATCGTTATTTATGTTTTTATAAATTGTAAAAAGTTTGTAAATAGTTTCTGAAAAACCTCACGAGGATGTTACTATTAAAGATGATGATTATGAAATAGTCCTTAGGCCAGAAAAGAAGGGCAGTCAAGAAATTCTTGTGAACAGTTATTTCTCCCCCACCTTGAGATTACATTTTCTCCAGTGATGTAATTTCCGACGTTCTCTTATTCTTTTCTGTATTTCTGCTTCATTGTGAACTCCAGAAAGAACGTGTCTCGGTAAACAGTTCACAGTATAAAAATCATGAACATATTGCCATTGTTATTATCCCCGCGAAGAAAGTCTAAATGACTATTAAAAAGTAGTATGGGAAACATCAATAAACAGTTTTAAAATTTTTTATCTTCCTTTTTCAAGGATCAGGCAAAGTTTTTGATGACAGGCCGCAGTAACTATAAATTTCTTAATCAACCCTTCAAATAGAAAAAAAATGGAGAGGTAGTAAGAGATACTGAATTGTCACGTTTGAATTTCTCGAATGCAAAAATTAACAGTCTTTCCTATGGAATTGAAATATCCATCCTTCACTCCATTCATTTTGTGTCACTGACGGTTAATCTTATCTTTCCTTTTATCGACATTTTAAACACCAAAAAGAAATAAATACCTGAAATATTTTCGTTGCTTCCTCACTTCGACTCAGATCGAATACCTTTAATTGACCACTTTCATAAATGGCTGCCGGATTAATATTCTTTTGTTCAAATTTTAATTAGCCTTTCTGGCCTCGTTTTCCAGTTCAAAATTCCAAAGAATACATTATCTCAAGCGAGGCTAGTGAGGCTAATTTGAATTTAAACAAAACAATATCAATCCGGCAGCCATTTATGAAAGTGGTGTATAGCGATGAAGTAATATACAGAAAGCAGGCTGCATACAACTTTTCCAGATCATTATCTTAAAATGATATTCTTATGAGTGAGTTTCCATTCATTTGAAGTCACTATGGACAAAGTTCTCAAACAGCTGTACTATAACGTCAGCAATTGGGTAAAATTGAAAAACAGCTCCCAAAAACTGTCGGTCATTTGTCGGTTTTCTATTGGAATCTGTCGGTTTACCATTTCCGAAATTATCATCGCTCTTCTTCAATTTTACTCCATGCTGATAAATTTGAGGTATTATCTCTCCCATAGGTAAGGATATTATTATCAGTAACTCCATTTTCAGCTTTGGATCTTCCGTGAAAATAGATAAATCGTGTTGTGTAGAAAGGCCATTAAAGAAATTGAAAATTTGCACATAGGCCATATCGACTGTTTGGAAAGCAAGGAAAAATCTTTAAGCGTCCGATAGAGTAATCCTGTCTTATTAAACTGCGAAATTAATCGATGATAATTTCGAAATGGTAAACCGACAGACTCCAACAGAAAACCGACAAGTGACCGACAGTTTTTGCCGGGAGCTGTTCTTCAATTTTACCAGCAAGGTAGCAATAGCCCGTATCGCATTTACGCCCACTGTACGAGAGCTCAGCGGACTTTGAAGTTTCGAAACGAGGCTATCGGGTCACACAGGTAAAACTTTCAAGTAAAATCGAAGCAAACGGCTACGTTTGGAGGCATTTTTATTCATTTTCTTAAGGATACAGTGTGTTCTCGTCATGGTTAGACATTGTATTGCATACGGGTGCAACGGTCGCAGCAATAAAGAAGAATCAAAGAAATTATCGTGGCACTCGTTGCAGTTGTCGAACAAGGAAGTGCTACAAACATGGCTGATTAAGATCAAACGGTCGAACACGCCGCTAAGCAAGAATTCCTACTTATGTAGTAAACATTTTGAGGAGGAATGTTTTACCAAAACCCTTGGAGGAAACAGGATACGGCTGAAGCCTGGATCTGTTCCCACAAAGTTTGTGTTTACGGTGCAACAAAAGGAAAGAAAGAGGCCTTGTTATAGAGGGGAAGCCATGGACACAATCAAAAGCAAAACATCGAGGAAACTAAATTTAACCACATATACCGATGTTGCAAAAGATGACGAGCTTGAATTCTGTCAACCATTAGAAAGTACTCAACTACATGAAGATTTTTCTATTAATCATTAAGAACCCCAGAAATGCAAGGATGACGAGCTTAACATGAACAACAGTTTGAAGCGAAGATATCATGTCTACATGAGAAAATAAGTGATCTTGAGAAACTGCTCCAGGAAGAAAGACATGCTAGGAAAGAACTTGAAATACTGTGCAGCCAGAGAGCTTTTAACATTGATAGTATTAAGAAGAATAACAAGTTGATGAGATTCTGCACAGGATTTAAAAGCTATGAAACTTTTTCAATAGTCCTAGATTTTCTTGGAAGGGATGCTCCAAGTCAACTTGACTACAAGAAGAATGAAAGGTCAGAATGCAATTCTAGATCAGTGGTTTTAAATTAAACAAAAGTCCACGCAAACAAAAACAGGGAATCAGTAGAACGGAAGACGAGAAAATATCAGTCAAAGATCCAGTTATTTTTTTCCTACACTGCTTTCCGTTGAAAAAACACGGTGTTCTTCCGTAAAAACTGTTCAAATTGAGAACTATTTATAACCTATGGAATGTAACACTGGATCTTTGAAAAAAGTTATTTTCAAAACAGTATCTTTCTTCAACACGAAATTCAAACTAAGCTGATGACAGATAAGTTGAACGGGATCTCATTAATTTGGTTCAGAAAGTTTTTTCCACAAGACTCAGACACGTCGTTTATTGAAAACAAGAAGGTTGCCATAGGAAAAGAAAAAGGGATACAAAACAAGATGACGCGGATAAAAAAAAAAAGGAATTTTCCCCACAACTGTCACCGCAAGGAATAAGAGTGATCAACCCACAAGCATATGAATGATAAACACTTAGGAAGCAAAAAACAAAAGCAACTCAAAACAACGGGAAAAAAAAACGGCTCTATGAGCCTCGTTGGATATTTGGAGTGTTTTAACGGGGTAAGCCGGTAGCCGTAAAACATACAGCTTTTACTTAGCTCTATCTCCATCTTTTCCATTTACAGTTGAACCTCTCCACAACGGCCACCTATTTTTTGTAGTGCACTGCACAAAATAGGGTTAGGTGACGCGCTCTAGTTGAGGACCTATGTTCCACTAGGAACGAAGAGGAATAAAGAAGAAGAAGAAGAAGAAGAAGAAAACGGCCACCTTGAGGACAGAAGAAAGTGGACCTTAAAAAGGGGTTTAAACGAATTTATGGACAGCCCGCCAGGACCAAAAAAGTGGTCATTGTGGAGAAGTGGTCATTGTGGAGAAGTGGCCATTGTACAGTGGCAAAAAAGTCGAGCAAGCAGAGGGCTACCCTGCACTTGCATTGGACAATGGTCTGAAAAAGCTAGGACTTGAGCATGTAGATGTCGTACGTTCTTCCTTTAACCTGGGTACTGCATACAGTGTTCTAGGTGATTTCGGGCAAGGAAAGGTCTACCGGACATTCGTTGGAAACAGCTCGGACCTGTACATGTATATCTCGCAAATTCTTACAATAACCTGGGTAGTGTATACGGTGATTTAGGTGATTTCGAGCAAGCGGAGGGCTACCATGCACGTGCACTGGACATACGTCTGAAACAGCTTGGACCTGATCATCGTAAAGTTGGAGAAACTTATAAAAATTTAGGCGATATACACAATCATCAAAGTCACATTGACCAGGCGAAAAGATACTATGATCTTGCTGTGGCGATTTATTTTGAAAGCCTTCGCCCTGAAAATTTTAAGGTCAGAGACATTCAGAATAAGCTTAAAAAACAACAGCAGAATTGCCGGACGGCTCATGTAGATGTAGATACGCGTGTTGGTCTTGTAACTTGTACAATACTTTGAACGTATGAAATTACTGACATCAAGCTCAGGCAAATCATCGTATGATAATCAACATACAGGTAGATTTTCCGTGTGAACTTCAGGACTAATTTAGCTAAAATTTCGTTATGGATACGATTACATTCATCGTTGCGTACTCAAGATGTTGTATATGTGGAAGAATAATTTTCGACACGAAAGATCATTTTCTCACTCCGCGCATTGTTTAAAGGCTTACGACCTTGAAGGATTATGCTTAGCCAGGATGCATTGCAGGGGTAGTGGCGTATTGAACATTTTCTGTGTTTCAGAAAAGGAAACCCTATCATGTTTGTAATGTCATTCGACTGAATCTTAATCAACACCTTTCAGCCGGGTTAATATTTCCAAGTGCCTATCGACTATTTTCTACTTATTTCTGTGGTATTCAAACCGCATTCACGCTCTCGAGGCCATTGAAAGAAGGGTCGTCCTGCAGGGAGTAAAGCCGCCATATCATATGGCTAATGTCTTTTTCTGAGGTGCTTGGAAGACAAGGGGTCGTCCTGCAGGGAGTAAAGCCGCCATATCATATGGCTAATGTCTTTTTCTGAGGTGCTTGGAAGACAAGGGTCGATTCTCTTTTATGCCTCTTTCTTTTGTACACTTTCGTTTCCATTGCACGGTTGTGGTATTTTTTGCCTTTTCGTGGGTTTGTGAAAAAAAATTGTCGAGTTCCCGATTAGTAACAATAACAAGGGCGCACAAAACACACTGGTTGAGTGTGGCCTTTTTAAAATTGCTAACGATTTCTTCTTTTAATTTCAAGCACTTAGAAATCTCAGAATTCTGAAATGGAAGGCATTGACTGCTTACTTACTTCAACAATTAAATACGGTGTTTGGAATCAGTTATGGGACTTAAAAAATAATAATACCTTTATCCCAAAGGACTACTTCATGTGGTACATCAAGTAGATGAAGACCGCCGTCTGACTGTTGTATATACTGATGTCCATCTTGTCCTAATTTTGTAAACACTGAGCTTCAAACGCGTTGGCAGGAAGACTTTAATGAACCCGTCAGATTAAAAAAAAAAAATGAGAAAGCAGACAAATTCTAAGCTGAAGTTTTGAAAAGGTAAGGCGTTCTGATATAGTCAGAGTAACATAGCTAGGAAGAAAGTGCCATAGATAGTCACGCCATAAAAAGAAAACAAAAACATTTCCAGTTCGTCCTTTATAAAATACTATTACACAATCAACTACAGTTCAACAGTTCAACAACCTTAAAGTTTGTCCTCCAGTTTGAGAGACTTGTTGATTGAAGCGCTGCAGGTGTAAATCGGAAGGGTGGATCTATACCTTCGAGAAACAAAAAGGCAATTATATTAAGCGATTAGATCAAGTGATAGCACTGCAGGCGGGAGTAAGTCTGATTTAGTCCCGTTCCCCTTTCTATCCGATAGTTTATTAAGAGCGTTTCAGAGACGGTGTCAAGAAACTTGCCAAGGATTTTGTTCTAATTTCCAAGGCTTTTGACTATGTTTTTTATCTAATTGTTCACCTGTGGGTTCAATAAATTCAGTTTCTCTGTTATTATTGCTGAAATGTAACTTTCTTTCAATTTATGCGGCAACAATGAAAAATTTTTCGTCCTACGTACCGTTCCTCCATTCTTATGCGTCCAATTTTTTTCATCAAGTAGACTGAGAATTTCGTTTGTCGATTCCATAATAGACAGACAACGGTGTCATCGAAGCTTTCACTCATATGTGGCGTACGAATCGCAGAATACAACCTTTTTTATGTTTTATACAAAATGACACTGACATCGACAACAACGATGAAACACAAAGAAGTATGAGAAGGAAGCGACCGCATTTTTGCCTCATGAACTTAACCACTGGCCAGCCGCAGGGTGATAACTGCAAAGCCTACTTGAGCATTGCACGGGGCAGAGTAAGAGCGGCCGGGGGAAGGGCAGGAACGTTGAAAATTTAAGTGCTGTTCGCAATGAATTCAAGTTATCTTTACTGTATCTTTGCTCCACTCTTATCTTTGACGGCAAGATGTTTAAATAATTTCTGGGGTTCGCATTTGCTTCCATTTGCTGCATAAACGCTTTGTTTTTCCGCTGCAATGGTAATTACAAGAAACAGCCTTACTAGAATACCAACTCTGCTTCCACTAGTACTTTTGCTACCACATACACAGTGTTGTTATTAAAACTTTTGCACGGTTACGCGTATTAACTTTGCATGTTGATATGACTTGAATTCTTCTGGACGCAACCGCCTTTAACTTTCAATTACTTCAAGACGATTCAGAGATTGGCACTAACTTTTCGCAAACTTCACTTAGTTCGTTCAAACGTGACACAAACATAGGCAACTTTTTGGTGAGAAGTTCACTTCAAACTAATGACCAACCCGAAACTTTAAAATGCACCCGCGCACAGTGCAGAACTTGTTCTTTCATTCACCACGTGTTT